GAAGACATTAAATTCAAAAATTGAAAAAAATTCCATCGTACCCGTAATTGGGGGAAACCTCCACAAAAATTACAAATTTAAAATAATTTTCCAAAAATTTTTTTACTTTAAAGTGCCATTAATTTTTTAAAAATAACTAAATCAATATATTTTTTTATATAGATGCATGATATCATTATCTTTTATTTCGTATTTTTTTTTTTATTTGACTCTTTACCTGGCCACAGGAGGGATTTTATAATGACAAATTTTTCACAAAAAATTAATTTTTTCAACTTGACTTTTGAAAATGTTCCGGAAAGTCTGACACTTTTATATATATATCTTAAATAAAAGCTAATATAATGTATTTTATTATGGAAAAAAATTTCGGACTTCTTTTTGTCTTCACGGTGAAAATGGCTACCAAAAGCTATTTTTGTGTGAAAATTTTATTATGCTATAACTTATTGAAAAGTGTATGGAACAACATAATTTTTTTATGAGAAATAATATTTTTTAATAATCCCTTTTTCATTCGACATACTTTATCTTAATCAAGATATTAATAATGAACTAGCAGATCATGTAGCTTTTGGAATAATATACACCAATTTTTTAAAATTAAACACTATCTAAAGATTTGCATCGAAGCGTTTCTTTTTGATAGTGATTTTAATCACTGTCAGATATCATTATACTTGATCCAACTATGCCACGTCACCACTGTGCCGCGACTTCTCTGTGCTGGGTTTTTTTTATTTTTATGTTTGTTCATGAAAATGTTCAGATCTTACTGGACCGATTTTAATGATTAATACGTTTAAATAATTCGATTTAAATCTAAATACCCTATGGTCACTGAAAATTTGTAAAAATTCTATTAATTTCAGTTATATAAAAAGGTAACTCGAAATCTAAATAAATAAATATATAAAACAAATACGAGTCATTGCAGTAGCGTAGTCAGTGACGTGGGCCTTGTCAAATTTCCGCCCCCTCCCACCAAGCCGCCAGACTACTTAATGACGGCCGGAAAGGTAAACGCGTATCGTAATGAAAACCGCAAAACTCACATTGTTCGTTGGGTGATCTGAGGGGTGAGTGCGTGTATTCCGATTCCATGGGTTTCTCCGCTGATCGCTGTTTCACCGCTGCTGATTTGGATGTTGTTGCTGCTACTGTGTTGTTGCCCCTCTTGTTATTGTAATCACCACTGTTACGCTATTGCTGCTGTTACTGTTGTTAAAACGACGTCTCCAACATGTTTGATGCTAAGTGTGGTGGTGTCAGCCTCTGTTCTCAGGCTGGCGCTATTAAAGTGAGTGTGTAGTTGGTCCGTGCTTTGTTGTCGGATGGTAATATGATGTGTGTTCAATGAGCGTTGTGCGTCCCACCGTGACATTAAAGTCGTAACGCAGTTTTTCACTATCTGTGATGATATTTGGCGCGTGTGTGGGTCGCGTGCTATATATAGTGTTAATAGATCTCCGTCGGGTAGCGTGTGCCGAGTACTCGCTTTCCAACAAGCTGTAGTGCGTCGCGTCGCGCCCAAGTGAATTGTACCAGCAGCGCAGTCCCAGGAGACTTCCTGTTCTGTTAGAAAGTCGTGTCCCAGGAGCACGTCACAGTACAGATTCTCTAGGATAACAGCCGTGAACTTTACTTGTAGATCCGCAATTTTTGTTATAAAGGTAGCTGTGCCGACCGTGTCTGTTGTGTAACCGTCAGCTGACCTAACCGGGAGTGTTTGTCCGTTGTGCACAATTCCAAATTTGTGAGCTATTGCTCGAGTGGCATATGATTTTTGCGCTTATGAGTCAAGCAAGGCTGTCACAAAGCCGTTGTTAAATTCCAGCTCCACGGCGGGAGTAGTAATTTTACGCGGACGTGTTTGTGCGGCAGTACTCAAGTGGTTAGCGGTTCGAACGCGGGGCGTTGAAACGGTGTGTTCGCCGGCAGTGTTAATTACCATAAACGGGTAAGCCGTTCCTGCCGTATTCCCCTCCCTCACGATGACCAACATAACGTTGGCCCGACTCGCGCTATAGTCGTGACAAGTATTTTGAATAAACTTATGGTCCTCATTGTGGATGAGGGGTGTGGTGGTGGTGAGTTGTGGTGCTACAGCATGACCACTGTTACGACAGTAGGGCTGTAGGGATGATGGTGAATTTGGTGTGAAGGTGGTGTGGTTGAATTTAAGGTTATTTAAAGTATTGACATTTTGATCGGAAAAAACCCCATCCATTTTTGTTACCGGAATAGATTGAATCGTCCGTTCGGTCGGCGCGCTGTTTATTGCAATTTAGATTTGAATGGGATTGTGGGCCAGCATAACTGGTCGGTGCTTTTCCAGTCATAGTGTACGTTATTGACCGTATTCCAATCGAATTAACCAAAAATGAAAAGTACAAGTGGTAGTTTGTTTTTGTTATTCGGAAATACGATATCAACAGTCGCGAGAATACGCGCCGCTATGCGTTCGTGTATGAACGTTAACAATGCTGGCCGTTTGTATTATTATTGTTATTGTTGTGATAATGTACTGATAAAGCACTATGACACTGGATTGTATGTGGGACAAATTATTACGTTATTAGTCGAAATATTTAAGATTCTCAAGGTCAAGGTTAATAATACAAACGGTTTTATGGGACCCGGTTGTTAAATGTAACGATCTCGCTATGGTATGATAGTACGTTTGATTACCCCACCTGCCTAGCGGTTTTATCGAAACAATTAAACGAGTGTATTGTCGATGCGGGTGTGAATATAGATACAGTAATCGCCAGAAATCCACTTGTACCGTGTTTAATAATACACAGAAAGTGGAAATCTATTATTCGCGCAATGGTTAATATCTATATGACCGTGTGGGAAATTCACTGCTGTCACCAGTGAACTGTGTGATTGAAATAATTTGGAGAAAAGTGAATGTTAAGGAAACCTAGCTGTCTTATTTGAAAAATAAAAATCAAGTCAGCAACTGGTTTTCTTACCTTAATCCAATGTAATACCGGGAAGCCAGTTGACACGACTTACGTCGCAAAAATGTGGTCGACACTGGTTTTGAGGGTAGAGACCAGTGGGCCGTTTATTAATGAGCAACAACAGGTTATTTTAACAAAAAAATAAAATAATCCGAGAAGATAAACACAATAATAATAATCTTAGCATAATATCGCGGTACTTTCGCTGGCGTGGACGACTCGATGTCCGACGTGATCCTTGGGCGACAAAAGGTTAGCAGCGTTGATGGCAACGGTGCGGATCGGTTCGTCAACGTTGTCACTCTCACAACGGAAAGAAGACTCTAGTATCATTTGCGGTGGGTCGTCGTCGGCCGTGCGACACTTGCTGGACTTGGCACCATAGCGTATGACATGCGGTGTTAGTCAGTCAAATACTCTTAGTAGGGCGACGGCTGATAAAGGTGTCACGAGTCGCGGGGCATCGTGTATAACGAAACGACACGGGCCGTATCATTTCATAACGGGGGCCAGAATAAAAATATCTACAAAATTCCATATTTTCGAATTTTTTTTGTTCATCATTTTATTTTAAAAATGAACATTGCTATCAATGATGGGGAGACCTGAGTTATTGTTAGATCAATGACAATATAGTTAAGTTCATAATTTTTTTAATCAATACCCAAAAACTGCATAAATCTGGTCAAGCAAGGTTCGTCAAAATTAGTTTTTTGTTGAAAATAAAAGAAATAGCCCAACTCCATCAAATAAGTATAAGTAGATAGAGCATTCTGAAACTAAGTAAATCTACACTGTTAGAATAGTGTAGAGCTAGCACCTAGTTAGTTATTTATACACTCATATATTACATTTTAATAATCAGTATTTATATTGAACATATAATATAATTTATTAGAAATATAACTAAATTTTTTGTGATTACTGCTTTATAGCAAAACATTTTCTCTAGCATGCTTACCAAAGTAATAAATTTAGGCTCCTTCCAAAAATAAATATTAAATACAACTTACAAATAAGGTGTATTCATTTTCATGGAGATAACGAAAGTAATGTGTATCAGCAATAAATATAGTTTAAAAAAACTAAAAAACACGCTTTTAAAGCAAATCGAACAAAAAAGTTNTTAAAAAAACTAAAAAACACGCTTTTAAAGCACATCGAACTAAAAAGTTAAAAATAATTTTTAAAATTAACTTAAAACAATAATGAACGAAAAATACTAGTATTATTGTGAAAAAAAGCGTCAGGCGCTCAATATACAAAAAATATGGCATAAAGCACCCTTTTTAGTTCGATGTGCTTTAAAAGCGTGTTTTTTAGTTATTTTAAACTATATTTATTTTTCACTTTTTAGTTTCATGTTATGATAGTAGTTAATATCAATATCATGGTTGTAACGGGTAACGGGAAATAAGGGTTCGATTCCGGAGAGGGAGTCCAAGAAACGGCTACCACATCCAAGGAAAGCAGCAGGCGCGTAACGTGGAGGTAGTGACGAAAAATAACGATACGAGAATCATCCTCCGTAATCGGAATGAATACACTACATATCTCTTAATGAGAATAAAGTGTATTAATATATAAGTTTTAATAGTAATTAGAATATATATATATTTAAAGGGACTTAAGTACGTAAACGTATCATGCATGAGGTATAGCCGTGTTTATGTGGGCGGGCATGGCGGAGGGAACATTATACACGAGGCATATACGGCAGCAGAGGCGTCGGCTGTAGGAATATATAAATGAATATTCCATATACGTATATACGTATAACTATTAATATATATATATATATATTAATATTAGCGGTGACGTTAGGAATATATAATCTTCGCATAATATCGCGGCACTTTAGCTGGCGTCGAAGACGCGATGTCCGGCGTCAATAGGTTAGCAGCGTAGATGACGACGGTGTGCGAGTGCGGATCAGTTTGTTGACTATGGGAAGAAGACTACGGTATAGCGGCGGGACTTCGTCGGACGTGCGGCACTTGCTGGACTTTGCACCGCGGCGTAAAACGACGCGGGGCTGTGTCAATTACAATAAAAATTTGTTATATATATATATATATAATTGATGATAAGCGCGCGTCTACGGGTTGGAAAATATTGTTCTCTACGAGTGGTGAGCGGGGTGGGGCGAATGCGTTACAACAGTATAGTCTCAAGGTCATACACGACGGGATACGCGACATAATAACACGTGCCGCGTGGAGTTACAAACTTACAAACGATAAACAACAAACAACAAACAACATACACGTGAAACTAATATAAGCGTGTTAAAAATAATTATTACTAACTCAGGCACGTATTAAAATGTAGCTGTTTAAAAGTAAGTTTAAAGTTTTGTTTGACGAACTATTTAATTTAACTGGAATAAATAATAACCTAAGAATATTAAGACATTTTTTAAATTATTATTTTCTTTTCAACAAATTAGTTTATGACTCGGATATTTGCTAAATATACTAGGTCAATTAATTAATTTTGTTGATTAACTCAGCTTTAGTTTCTAAATTTCACTATATAAAATATTGCATCCTTAAAAATATACCAACATTTTTGTGATATTTTTTCAAACATGTCAATTAAGTAATGGAATAATTATTTAATATTACGCTATCAGTAAATAAATTATAAAATCACTTAAAAGTGTCATTTTATCTCACAATTCGTCATCAGACTTGTTCTCAATCACGTCGAGGTCAAAAAATTGTTGACATTTTTTAAAATTAATTTTATTGCTTCATGTCAGATTATTATTCAAATTAATTATAAATAAATACTAATAATAATATATTCTTATTACTATTTAATACATAAGGTCAATTCAAATCATTATTTTTACAATTAATGGCCAAATTTTTTTCTGAATTTTGTTACTTTAGAATAAAATGATGATCAATTTTTAGGGTTGTTATATTAGTTTCATTATTGTATTAAATTTGCAATAAACTACTCGTGAAAAAGTAAAACAATGACAATCCTACTCCATTTGTTATGAAGACGAATAAAAAATATATATCCTATGAATCATTTAACAAGTTTTTAAAAATTATTGAAATAATAATTTACTAAATAGAACTAAACAACTAAATAATTAAAATTAACAAATTAGTGAATTTATAAGTCAATTTATTAAATTGTTGTTTTATCAAAGGTATACAACATGTTTCATTAAACTTCATATTCTTCTAATTTTTTTTTATTTTTTAAAGTATAATATACATATTTACTCTTTCAAGTTCTTTTTTCAGTGAATAAAACTGTGAACAATTTAAATAGTAATATTTCAATCAATATAAAATATTTTTGGAAAATTTAGACAAATAATGATCTGTTTTACATCCTTCTATTTCCCAACTTAAAATGGTACAGAAGGTGGTGGCCCTCTTTCACATGTTAGGGGGTAAAAAATGTTTCTTGGCTAGACCAATGATGGACGGCACAGGTATTATGGCTGGCTTGCACCAGAAACCATACACTACCAATGAGAAAATCACAAGAAAACTTCATTGGCACCCTTGGAATTAAACCCAGTACCCCATACTTCCAAACATATATATCTAATTACTAGTTATTTAGACAAATAAAATTAAAAAATTAAAGCTATAAAGTTTGCTTGTTAAAATATAATTATAATATATCATTAAATTATATTTAATGAAAATTTTATAAAAGTTATTGGGTATTTTTTTTAATAAGGATTTTAGGAATCTATTTATTTAATAATCTCAAAAATTCAGGCAGATCAATATAGTTTCAAAAATTAAACAATAAAAAATTTATAAATAAATACCTTATTATCTCTTATTTCTTGATCTTCGCATATTTTAAACTTATAATTTTCATTAAAAAAGGTTTTTTCAACTTTGGCAATTTGTTTATCGTTGTCCTTAGATTTAATAAACTATTATAACTTTTATATTCTAGACTATTTCCCTAAAAAAATTTATACAATTAAAAAGAAAAATTTTGACAAATATTTTAAAAAAGAAATAACTTATATACAAATTAAAGAATCAAAATACCTCCACTATAACAAAAATCAAAACACTCTCGTGGCATAATTTTTTTATGATAAAAAGTTTCCAGAACAAAATATAGATAAATGATAAAAGTAAAAGTTTTGAATAAAAAAAAATTTAATTCACCTTCATCAAAAGAAAAATGCAAAAAGTATTATTAATCAAATATATTTAAAATAAAAATAAACTTGTAGACTTATAATAGAAATATTAAACAGATATATTTTCCTTTTATCATGGAGTATATATCTTTTACAGATAATTATCTAAACAATTTTAGCTTCAATGCAAAAATGAGAAGGTATTAATTTTACCATGATGTTTTTTTTTATGCCTGTTGCCACTTTTTCACAGGTCTCACAGGACCAATTTCTTTCAACAATACGTCAAAAGATCACAAATCGTATCTAGTTGAAGACATTACCCTCAAAAATTGAAAAAAATTCCCTCGTTCCCCGCAAATGGGGAAAATCTCAAAAAAAAATACAAATTTAAAAATCGATAAATTTTGTCATTTTTTTCTTAAAACTGCCATAACTTTTTCAAGTATTAAAAAATCAAAATAATATTCTTTTATACTAAAATCTTAGATATTTCCCTTTCATTTGATATCATTTTTTTGAAAATCTAACACTTAACCTGCTCACTGGGGGGGGATTTAAAATAGCAGCTTTTTTTACAAAAATTAACTTATTCAACTTAATTTTTGAAAATATTCAGGAAATACTGCGTCCTTTAAACATATATTAAATTAAAGATTATTTTATGTACTATAAAATTAAAAAGAAAATTTGTTCCGACGACCTATCTTCTATGCGCAAATGGCAAAAGATCTTATAAGGGCAATACACTGACTTTCATAAATATTATACATTTTAATTGACACATAATAAAGTTCATAAGACATTCATAAGATTCAATAACTTCAATAAATATCAAGGATCCCATCACTTTTCGTGAGAAGAAATTTTTTATTCATGTTAATACTATTTTACTATGTGCTTTTTTTTATATATTATAAAAAAATTTATAATATATAAGTAAAAGAATTACTAATCTGGATATAATTAAAGAAATAGAAGTTGCTTTGTAATTATACACCAATTTCTTAGAATTAAACACTACTAATTTACATCAAAGCGTTTCTTATGATAGTGATTTCAATCACTGTCAGATTAAATCTATACTGGACCCAACTATGTCAAGTCCCCACTGTGCCGTGACCCCATTGTGCTGGGTTTTTTAAATATAATTGAAATCTCAAACCCTTATATTACCAAAATTAATGTCTTATAATATTTACAAAATAACTTACAATGGACCAACAGGTCTGAGTGCATGGGCATTATGTCCACCTCAATAATAACTAAAACTACAAAATAACTTATTCAATTATGATTAATGTAATCGTTCACAAAACTTATTAATATTCAACAAATATATTTTTATTTAGTATTAAATAAGTCAAATATTTATAAATTTATTTTTGTGGACATTTTTTTTTATATTTTATTTATTATTTTTCTTACTTTAATTGAAATACCTTGAATTACATCATCAGGTTCAATAACATTACCAACACTCTTAGACATCTTTCTACTATGTGCATCTCGAATCATACCATGTAAAATAACTTTCTAAAAAGAGTAATATAAACTTATAAATACCAAACATAATTCTTTAACTAAACTTGTTTGTGAGTAACTAATTGTTATTTGAAAAGCTTGAGGATTTATCCATGAAAGTTTCAACACATTCATAACTAATTGTTATTATTGTATTATTGTTATTATATCATAATAATAATAATTATATACGAATAATAATTTATAATAATAAATAATTATATCGTAATAATAATAAAAAACTTAATTTTTTTAACGTTGCTGTGTTTTTTTATTGACTAAATAATAATAATAATAATTTTATTCTGTACAATATTATACCTTAAATGGAAGTGATCCTGTCAATCTTCTGACTATTAATCATTTATAAAAGTTTAATTATTTAGGAAATAAATTTGATAAATTATTTTTTTTTTTAATCAAACCTTTTCTGGCCATCCAAATGATGAAAATGGAAGTAAAGCTGAAGAAAACCAAGTATCCAATACGTCTTCATCTTGTTTAATTTTTAGCTCATTTCCTTCTTTAGTAGACAATTGCATTTTGTTTTTTAGTTTTTCTAATGCTTCTTCAACACTATGTGCTGTTATCCAACCATATTTAGATTCAAACAATGGTAATCTATGACCCCACCAAAGCTGTCTAGATACACACCAATCTCTGAAAAAACCTCAACATACCCATAATTATAAAAACTAAATCACACATTTAGAGAAATATTTTTTCGTTTAAACACAACTATACTTACTTTGAATTATCAAGCCATGAAAACCATTGATTGTGATAGTGTTTAGGTTCTATGACTAAGTCCCCATTTCGAAGAGCAACTGATGATTTTTGAGCCATATTTTTACAATTAATAAACCTACAATTAAAAATGAGATAAGATGTTAAATTTAAAACTAAGGAAAATATACATGCCATTGTAGTTTTGGAATATATTCAATTACATCTCTTGTGCGGCTACAGACAGGTATTAACATTTTGTGATCACAAAACCCTCTTAAAAGATTCATATTTTTTAAACGATTAATTATTGCCTTTCTAACTTCATATCTAGGTAAACCCTATTAAGTAATCAAAAAAATGTTATAATTTTAAATTCATCAAATTTGTTACTAAATCACACACCAATATACTTAAAAATTCAAAAAATGAACATTGTTATTGTTTTATATTGTGCACACATTTTAACCCTCCTATACATAAAGTTATACCTATATTTTCTTAATTTATTTGTAAGATAACATTACTGTGTACAATGAAGTTTTACTTGCCTTTTTTTATAGATGAAGAAAATAACAGAAGACAATTTGGGCTTTAACAATATAATAATAAGCAAAATTATACTTAACTTACATCAAATTCTTGATCTTCAAAATTTATTCTACCGGATTCATCTATTACTGATTTAATTGGTAAATTATGTTTTATTGCTAATTCATAGTCAAATATGTCATGAGCAGGTGTTACTTTTACAACGCCTGTAAATAAAATACTAATTTTTAATATAATACTAATAGTTGTAATACACTATCAATAAAATATTACCTGTACCAAAATTCTTATCAACAGAACTATCAACTATAATTGGTATCGTACATTTTCTAAAAGGATGCCAAACTAATGTGCCAATAAGTCCTTTGTATTTACCATCTTCTGGATGTACAGCTAATGCTACATCTCCCAAGATTGTCTCTGGTCTAGTAGTGGATACAACTATTTCTTGATCTAAAAATAAAAATCAATAAATATGTATTAAACAATGGTCTCTGTTTTTAATTAATACTCTAATTATAAAAAACTTGTAGGTACAATTTCAACAAAATTTTTGTGGGAGCTTATTATATCTAACATTCTCCTCTCAAATATTTGTTTAATTTATTTATGAGCTAATTTTTAAATTAGAGTGGCTGTGCCCCTCATATCCCTACTTATTTCAGCCTATGACAAAACTCAAAAAAAAATCTACATATAGTTAAATGTAGATTAAATTGTATGAAGAGTTATAATAAAAGATATTACACTAATACTTAACTATCTAACTTACCTGAGTTGTATAATTTATAAGCAACATCAGTTAATACACCAAACTCAACAGGGCTTTGATAACCAGGAACCGCAATGTAAGTTTTCCCTGGTATTTCTTGATAATCAATCTCAATATCAGAAACTGTTGACTGTAAAGTACAACACCAATTTACTAGTGATTTCTTTCGATATAGAAGTTGATCATCAAATAATCGTATAATAGCTTCATTAACAGCTTTATTTTGTTTCTAAAATAAATTAAGAATATACTCATTAATAACAGGTAGTATAAATAGCTCAAAATTATATTTATATATGAAGTATGTTCTCACTCTTAAATTGCAGAAAGAATGTCTACCAAAGAGCAAAATACTAAATGTATTATTTATACAATACCAATATCATTTATGAGAAATTTTCTGAACAGACTTCTCATTGATTCTGAAGACTATCAACTCTTTTAAATTTTTTAATATAATTCTCTTAATTTAAATATTAATAATAATAAATATAACTAATAATTAAGAAAATACCACAAAACAAAGTTTAAAGGGCGTGTCAGAAATAAATTCAGGATTTACATATTTAATTATTAGAATAAAAATAACTAAAAACATCATCTAAAAAATACTTTATTGTGTTATTTATAATCTCATGTGTTAAAAATTATATTAAGCATTTGACTTCTGTGATTGTATCTACAGAACAAAAACAAAAGATTNCTTCTGTGATTGTATCTACAGAACAAAAACAGAAGATTTATGAAAATGTTGTTCAACACAATTTTTTATTTTCAAGGAATTATAGCTACTGAAGGAACAACCTTTTGTCTTATGCATGATGTCTCAAACAAATAATAATGTCATAAAATACATGTTTTTTAGGTTGATATATTAATGGAAGCCTTTAATTGCTTGAAGCTTATAAAGTTAGATGGGAATATTACTACCAGCTTGAGATAAATATCTTAGACATTGACATTAAATCACGAAAAAGGAGTTGAAGACCTTGTTTTATTCATTTATATCTTAAATTGTTAGCAAAAAAAGTCTAATTCTTAATAAATGATAAGGATTATTTTTAGGGTCCCATTAATTCTAATTTTTTTTAGTTGCCATAAAAACTTATTATGGTTTTGACAATATTATAAAAAAAAAAAAAAAAAAAATAGAGATATATAAGGTGTGCGCAAAAAATAACGGGAATTTTCGTTTTTTGAAAAAAATATTTATTTATTTGACTACATTTATGTTGTCGCCTTCAAAAAAGTCCCCATTAGATATTATGCACTTATGCTAAAGCTTGTGATCTTCAACATCTTCACTATCATCTTGGAAACCCTTATAAACTCGTAAACCCTAGCTTTACTCATGGCAGACTCACCATAGGCCTATGTTTTAGATTTCACATAAATTGTTACCCTTAATTTCATTTTTTTACACAAAATTTTAAACAAATCTTTTGATCCATTTTTTTTAATGAACAAAAATTGCCAAGCTCATAAAAACAAGTCTAACTGTCAGCGGCTGCTACTGGCAAAGTAAAAAATGGATCCAACTGAAAATTTAATCATACTTCAGGGACATGTGTACCAACTATATGAAATTTTTTTTTGTTAATTGGACTTTCCAAACCCATGAAATCTAAAAATTCCCATTATTTTCTGAAGACACTATATACAAATCATCAATATCCATACTAACATTATCCATTGTGAAAAATTCTCTATCCCAATTTAAAGTGACTCCAAGATTTACTAACTGATTTTTTATCACTTTCATTTTTTCATTTTTCCATTTTTCCATTTTTCCATTTCATAATTTCATTATTAAAAGCATCTCTACTAAGATCATGCATGGAAACTTTTTTTTTGGCATGTAGTTTTTTTTCTACAACTACTTGAGTGGCAATACCTACATGGTCAGTACAAGGAACCCAAACTACATCCAAACCATTCATTCTATACCTAAAAATTAAAACTTTTTAATTTAAATTCAAGTAAGACAATGTAATTAATGAAGAAAAATAATAGACACTTATTTATCTTATTTACATAAATACATTCTAAATGAGTTTTTATAAGGTTAATATAAAACAACTATAAAAATTTGTACCAATAGGAAATCATAGGTCAAAACATCTTGTACACTACAAATAAGAATTAACAAATCTAATAAAATTTACTTTGAAAAATCAAATAGAAACACGTTACAGTCTTTTGTATTTGAAATTAAATTAAATTTTGAATGAATTTTTTAATGTTATTTTACAACTTAAAATAAATAAGGTTAAACAGTGTAACATTGTCTTATAAATTTTTATAAACTCATATTGTCAGATATCTGTATAATAATAATAAACTTATAAGTATAATAATACTTAATACTGTATAATAAACTGTAATTTCTGATAAATTTAAATTACAAAAAATGTATTATAATAACATGAATTCTCTTTACTCTTGATTAGATCTATAAGACAGCCATGAGATTTCTTACATAAATGATACCACCAAATCATGGTCCAATTATAATTGTATCAATAAGAATAAACACAAGAAAAATTGTTTTTATTTTAATCACTATTAAAAGAACTGTTAATTATAAACTATATCAAATTCAATTTATTCAACTGTAATATTTATGAAAAAACAACTATAAAAGTCATAATAAAAATATGACATGTTTTTGTTTAAATTTTCAATTAAAGTTTGTCCTCTAAAACCCTTATAGTTATTTTTTAAAAATACAAAATTACCATAACTCAATGTATAAAGTCATAAAAAAAATTTGTAATATAAAACATTTTTATATTAATAATAATTTTCGAGATAGTCTGTAATATGAAATGTTGTTTACTCTGTAATCAATAACACCTTACCATCGTGAAATTACATCTTAAACTGTCGTGGTGAGTGCATGACCTAAATGTAAAGATCCAGTGATGTTAGATGGCGGAAGAATCATAGAAAAAATATCAGAGTATGCAATTGAAAGTTTTGATTTTGTACAATGAGAAGAAATATTATTAGATATTTCAACAAACTTTGGATCATATTTTGGCGGTATTATTTGATTTTCTCCTGTTAATAATTAAAATATCAAATTGAATTTTCATTAGTAATTTAGAATTTATTAAAATAAATATTACCATATTTAAAATCGATAGAGTAAAAAACACAACCTATCGTACGAGGACTTTTAAAATACCTATTTCGAATTAGAATAATATCCATTTTCAGTAACTGTCATTAAATCTATTTTAAAAATGTTTAATACATTTTATCAATATAGAATACAAATTTCAAGAAAATTAATTTATGTATTAACTATATCTTTTATAATTGAAAATTTTGTACTTTAATATAAATTATACATTATTTAAATTATGTTTAAAGTCTAATAAATATTTCAGATAATATATTTTTAAAAAAAATTTTTATGAATTTTACTGAATATCGAACATGTAGAATCAATGTTTAAATAACATCGTTATCTTTCTAGTTAAATTTGAAAAATCTTGTAAATGTGATGCATTATTAAAATGATAGTAGTGATAGGAATTAATAATTCTGTTGTAATCATAGATAATAAAAATTCTTTATTATCTATGGTAATAATTGCGAAATGATGTGGTTTGATAACTTAATTGATAATATAATGTTTTTTAAATTAAACCAACTTTATACATGAAAGTTTTTATAGGATTCAACTATTATGAAGTAATAAAAAAATTGTGATTATTCAGAAAATTATACTATATCTTTTTTGATTTCTTATACATTGTATGAATTAAATATAAATCCATTTATTGTAATTACAGTAATCTTTGTTTTAATTATGTCATCTAAGTAAGTTTTTCATACATAATATATTTGTGTGGTCTGTAAATGGGATATGATTTTAGATATATTCATATGTATTTGTTTTTTATCTTCAAATTGTCATTATGTAAGTACTATTTCTAGTATTACTAAAATTTCAATCTGTTTTTACAGTTCTGTATGTATTTTTTAATAAATGTGCCAAATAGGCACACTGTGTAGGCTTATTATTGTGCATGTGTATATTTTAGCTATATTTTTTTTATTCCTTTAATTTATTTGTTTTGCTAGTTTTTATGATTTTATAATTGTGAATATGATAAATTATTTATTATTATATACATGATTAAAATTAATTTTTTTTGTAATAATTAATTGTTTGTGAATTCTGTTTTAATTAACACGCTTATATTAGTTTCACATGTATGTTTGTTTGTTTGTAAGTTTGTAACTCCACGCGGCACGTGTTATTATGTCGCGTATCCCGTCGTGTATGACCTTGAGACTATACTGTTGTAACGCATTCGCCCCACCCCGCTCACCACTCGTAGAGAACAATATTTTCCAACCCGTAGACGCGCGCTTATCATCAATTATATATATATATATATAACAAATTTTTATTGTAATTGACACAGCCCCGCGTCGTTTTACGCCGCGGTGCAAAGTCCAGCAAGTGCCGCACGGCCGACGACGTCCCGCCGCTATACCGTAGTCTTCTTCCCATTGTCAAAATAACATCGTCAACAAACTGATCCGCACTCGCGCACCGTCGTCATCTACGCTGCTAACCTATTGACGCCCGAGGATCACGCCGGACATCGCGTCTTCGACGCCAGCAAAAGTGCCGCGATATTATGCGAAGATCATATATTCCTACCGCCACCGCTAATATTAATATATATATATATTAATATTTATATGTATATGTTAATATTCATTTATATATTCCTACAGCCGACGCCTCTGCCGCCGTATATGCCTCGTGTATAATGTTCCCTCCGCCATGCCCGCCCACATAAACACGGCTATACCTCATGCATGATACGTTTACGTACTTAAGTCCCTTTAAATATATATATATTCTAATTACTATTAATACGCTTTATTCTCATTAAGAGATATGTGGTGTATTCATTCCGATTACGGGGGATGATTCCTGTATCATTTTTCGTCACTAGCCGTTTCTCAGACTCTCTCCGGAATCGAACCCTGTATTCCCGTTACCCGTTACAACCATGATATTGATAGTAACTATTATCATAACATAAAACTAAAAAGTAAAAAATAAATATAGTTTAAAAAAACTAAAAAATACGCTTTTAAAGCATATTGAACTAAAAAGTTCAAAATAATTTTTAAAATAAGCTTAAAACAATATTGAACGAAAAGTACTAGTATTATTGTGATAAAAGCGTGGGTGCTTTATACCATATTTTTCGTATACTGAGCGCCCGACGCTTTTATCACAATAATTCTAGTACTTTTCGTTCAATATTGTTTTAAGCTTATTTTAAAAATTATTTTGAACTTTTTTGTTCGATGTGCTTTAAAAGCGTGTTTTTTAGTTTTTCTAACTATATTTATTTTTTATATGATTTTCATCTACGTATTTGTTTTTTCATTTTCCTTAGTTCTTACATTATTTTTTAAACATTGTTAATTAAGTCATTAATGACATTTTTGATTAAATATATAAAATTCAAAGCACACTTATTTGTTAATATTGTTTGTGGGTTTTTATAATTTATGTAATTTTTATAAAAACAAAAATGTATATGGAGGAGCAGTATGACACTCATAAATACACCAATGATACTATGTACAATATGATATATAATTTTAAAGTGGATATAGGCAGTTTGAGAGAATGAAATAAAAATCTACTAACATCAGAGTAGTTTATTTTTGCTAATAACACTCGTTTGATTTCTATCTTAAATGGAGTTAAAAAATACAATATGAGTACCACACTTATAAATTATTATTATTAGCCCAATTCAAATTGAACTATTTATGACTAAATTTTAAGAAAAATATGATTCCCACAAAAAAATAAAATATTATTGAAATTAAGAACTTTTAGTTACTTTTAATTTTGTATAGGTGTGTAGAATTTTAAGTAAAGAAAATTTCATATAATATATTATTGTATTTATATTTGTATATTTGATCATTCTTTCAAAGTTTACAGAATAGTATCATAAATATGAACAAATGATCAACACCAACTTAATATAGGTATTGCTAAAGAAAAATACTTTAATTCACATTTACTTTTCCTTTGTAGAGTTAAAATTGGTCAAGGAGCTATGGTGTGTAAAGAAATTAAGGTGAAGGGTCAAGTAATTATTGGTTCTTCCACTATAGTTCATCCTGGTGTTACAATTATAGCTGAAGCTGGACCCATTGAAATAGGTGAAAGTAATATTATTGAAGAATACGTCACCATCATTCATAATTATATATTTTCAAAATAATTTAATTCTAGTGAAGATGTGTGAAAATTTTTCTAATTGCATTTTGTGTTTTCAAGAGGGTGGTGTATTTTTTATGGAGAATTTCTGGCAAATATAATCCATATTTATTACATATAAGAAAACTGATTGTTTGAGAAATTTTTCAGTAGACTTTTACTTAAAAAAATGTAAAGTAATATTACTGATTAGGTAAAAAATATTGGAGATTAGAAAAAAACAACTATATCCCATAGTTGTTTCAGTCTAGATTAAGTAATTTTTCAAACAATTAAAAGTATTCTTAATCTTTTTATGTTATTACTTAACCTTATTAGAATTTTGAAAATCAATATATTATATTTTTGCTCTTTAAAAGAATAAATGTAACCTAAAATCTTAAGCCAATAAGGGATTTATATATTCTATCTGTTGCTCCCTTTATAAGATAATCTTGCTTTTGACTTTAAAAATTAATGTAAATATATTAAAATCATTAATTAAATGTTTAGATTTCAACCAGGTTATGAAAAATCTGAACCTAAAACTTTAAAAATAGGATCTAGTAATGTGTTTGAAGTTTATTCAACAGTTGAAGGAGTAAATAGCATTGGAGATAATAATATCTTTGAATCTAAAAGTATACTAAAATAAAATATAAATTTTAAATATTCAAAAAATATGTTAATATTTAATCTTCTTTAAGGTTATGTTGGTCGAAATATTAATATTGGAAATGATTGTGTAGTTGGAGCTGGTTGTCGTTTAACATCTACTGTACCAGTTGAGGATGGGATTTGTATTTATGGAAAGAATTGTATTCGACAAAAGGCTTACTGCAAACCTTCAGTAATATATTTATATTCATTTTTTCAAATTATTAATATTAAATCCTGTATAAATTTAATAACTTTAAATGACCTTTACTACTTAACTTTCTTATAACACCTTTAAACATTGTACAGTGTAATGCTAAAAAAAACATTTTAAACTTTTTCTATATACAAATAATGATGAATAATAAGCAGTAAAAAATGTTAAGGTAATTACAATTAAAAACTTAATATGAAGCACTTTTCTCTTATATGCAATAGAAACTCTACTTTCATGTAGTTATTATTAAGTCTAGCTTAATTTCACTACCCTACTACTTCCAATGCTATATTATATTGATACAGGCTTAATATTTCATGTTTAAATATAAATTATTTCCTATCTTAATATTCAATATATATTATAGGTACCAAGTGGTCATCGAGAATTTTTGATGAAATTACTACCTAGTTACCATCTATTGAAGAAAAATAGAAGTACTACTGAAGGAAGTTAAAGCTACGTACACTTAAACTATGTTATTTTTATTAACCAACTTATTTTGTATATAAACATAGTATTAATTAAATATACAACTAAATTAGTTTAGCTGGAAGAATATATTTTTGTTAACTATTTTAATAGAATTTATGGAGAAACAGTTATTTACATAATTTGCATAAAAAATAATAATACAAGAATGTTTGATACTTTTTTTACTTTCTAAAGTATTGATTTTTTTCTTAATCTAGTATATGTATTTGAATATTTACTTAGTTGATCTTAATTTTATTTTATATTTAATAAACAGAGGATCTTCTTATTTTTCCTCCCCTTAATCCTAACTATTTGTGGTTGGCTACTTTTATCCTAAACTTCCACTTGACACAATCTTCCACATCATCTACACTCTTATCAGCCATCCTCATATCACATTCAATAACATCCCTCCATCTCTTTTTAAGTCTTCCTCTACCTCTTCTTCCCTCAACATTCATTTCCATTACTGTTCTTACAGTTTCCGATTCCTTTCTCTTCATAACATGACCAAACTATCTCTCTATTTTCTCTCATCTTATCCACGATTAAAACTCCACCTATACTTTCTCTTATATATTCGTACCTAATCCTATCTTCTCTTGACACTCCACTAATCCATCAAAGCATTTTCATCTCTGTTCTACTTTCTTATCTACCGCCCAATACTCTGAACTATACATCATAGCTGGTCTCACTACAGTCTTATAGAACTTACCTTTCAGCCTCATTGCAATTATTTTATCGCATAACACACCAGACGCTTCTCTCCACTTAAACCACCTGCACTTAATACTGTCTTACACCCTCGTAAATACCATCGTTCTTTTTCACAACTACATTGATAGTATTCACAATTACAACTATATTTGATAAACATAATGTGTGGTAGTAAATTCTAACAATTAATACAATAGAATTTTTTTCAATCACTGTATACTTTTTTAATAGAACTTTTTCCAGGGAAATAAAATATTTTGTTACCTGTGATAACAATAACAGTAACAACTAATTAGTCATTTCCACATTTTCAACTATTATGTATAAATTATCTAGAATAATTGTTGAAATAAAAAGAATACTTTTTGGAATAATTGTGTACATATATGGAATTTTTTTGTTTATACTTGTCGTGAACCCATAATTGTTTTATAAATATTAGTTATAACGAATTTATTGTAACACTAAAAAGTATTATACTAATATTTAGAAAGTAACCATTAATACTGTAAATTTCATGTTAATTATATCCTTAATTGTTAATGACATTATTCCTAATACAAAAAGATCGGATAACTGATTCAGTGGTCAGTGTTTAATCAGTAAATGTTACATTATAATTGTTATTATTTTGACTCTTCCTGACAACACTTATTCGAATAATCGAACTTGGACTAAGAACACCTAGTTCATCACATACTTGTGGAATAATTTTGTAAGAAGGATAAAATTATTGCGGAAAACTTATACATATCTTTGTAATAACAAAAAAAACCCAGCACAGTGGTGACGTGGCATAGTTGGATAATATCTGACAGTGATTAAAATCACTATAAAAAAAAAACGCTTCGATGCAAATCTTTAGATAGTGTTTAATTTTAAAAAATTGGTGGATTATTCCAAAAGCTATATGATCTGCTAGTTCCTTATTAATATCCTGATTAAGATAAAGTATGTCGAATGAAAAAGGGATTATTAAAAAATAGCATTTCCCATAAAAAAATTATATTGATCAATACACTTTTCAATAAGTTATAGCGTTATAAAGTTAAAAATGTAAAAAATAAAATCGAGAATTTTCACACAATAATAGCATTCGGTAGCCATTTTCACCGTGAAGACAAAATTAAGTCCGAAATTTTTTTTTTGCATAATAAAGAACATTACATTAGCTTTAATTTAAGATATATATAAAAGTGTCAGACTTTCCGGAACATTTTCAAAATTTAAGTTGAAAAACTAAATTTTTTGTGAAAAAGTTGTCATTATAAAACCCTCCTGTGGGCTGATAAAGGGTTAAATTTATGAAAAAATTATACCAAATGATAGATAAAGACATCATACATTCATAAAAAAAAAAATTATATTGATATGTTCATTTTTAAAAAAGTTTGGCAGTGTTTAGAAAAAAAAAATTGAAAAAATTTCGAAAATTAGCGATTTTTAAATTTATAATTTTTTGAAGGATTCTACCATTTACAGGGAACGAGGGAAATTTTTTCAATTTGTGAGGGTAATGTCTTCAACTAGATACGATTTGAGATCTTTTGACGTATCATTCAAAGAAATCCGTTCGGTGAGAGCTGAGAAAAAATGGTAACAAACACAAAAAATAAAAATAAAAAATAACACATCATAGTAAAACCAATACCTTCTGAGCTTCGCATCGAAGCTAAAAATGCAAAAAATTCATTGCCATACGCGAGTAGGAACATTGTACCCCAAGCGCATAATACACAAATTTAACCGACTTGGCAACCGTACGTCGCTAACGTCGTCTGAAAAATTGGCTATTTAATCTAGTTCAAATTTCAAAATTATTTTTCTCGACTTCAAAAAGCAAAAAAATTTTCTATGCTTTATAACTTTCTATGCTATATCAATTTTATTTATATAATATTTATGAAAATCTGTGTACTCCCATTGTGAGGTATTTTAAAATAAAATACAAAACCCAGAATTTTAACACAAAAATAGCATATTTTTGACTACCGTAGTCATTATTACCATAAAGACAAATCCAGAGGTCAATTTTTTTTTTCAAATTAAAGTATATTATATAAGCTTTAATTTAAGATATATATAAAAGTGTCAGTCTTTCCGGAACATTTTCAAAAGTTAAGTTGAAAAAGTTCTACTTTCTATGCGCATTTTTAAAGGTTAGAACCCCCCTGTATAGAGAAAAGGTCCGATTTAAAAAAAAAGTATGTCGAATGAAAGAAGTATTTATAAAGTTTTTATAATTAAAGAATAGAATTGAACTTAGTTTTTTTTTTAGTTATCAAACAGAAATTGATTTGACAGCAGTCTCTTTTCTTTGAATAAGATAAAATGTTAGATAAGGGAAGGACATATTATTCTGATTTTAATACAAAAGATAATTAAATGATTTTTCTAATGTATACGAATTAATTCAATCTATAGATCTTGCCGATTCTGACAATATAAAATATTAATGAAAGAAGATCTGAATTGAAATATTTGAGTACGTTTTTAACAGAATTCCACATAATTCAAATTTCGTGTTGAGAGCTCACATACAAAATAATTAAGATTAATATATTATTTTGCAAGGATTGTTTGAAAACAATACGACTAATGTCAAGTAGAAAATAAAAATAATATAACACACGTGTATTTATCATTGTTTGTAAAACTGTTATTTCAATATGCATATGTATTTTTTATATTTTAATCAATTACTTAATACATTTTTTTATCATATTTGTTTCATATATCATTTTATTTTTATCTAACTGTTCATTTTTGTGAAATAAATTATTTGTCAAATAAACGTATTTTTTACAACATTTTAAAAGAATAATTATTGTTCATTATAATGTTTTTAATATATTATAAATTTCTAGTAGGTTATTAAAGCTCTTATTAAAGCTCAAATCAACTTCAAAATATATGATACAAAATAAGAACAGTAAAATTCGATAAAAATGTTACTACAGTAACGTTTATTTTTTAATCGAAATACTACTACACAATTGACGGTCATTTTCTTAAGATAATCATTAATTTAATATATTCTTAGAACAAAACGGAGAGTCGTATTTAAATTATTTTTTATTAAGTAGAACAATTGACACTAGACTAATCTATATGCTAATAAATTTTACACTAATTAATTTATATTGCTATTTATGGTTAATATAATAAATTATACATTATGATATTTAGTACTGTGGTATTTAATAAGTCTTAACTATTCTTACACACGGTATGATAGATTGTATACACCTTTCAATGTTATCACTTTCGTTATTCTTAAATTGATATAAGTATTGAGATATTAAAAAAAATAATCATGTACTTAGGTAAGTCACTTGGTTTCTAACTCTTATAAAAATCCTCGTGGTTACTTAAATTGGTATAAATAGGTAATCAATTTTTTTTTTTAATATTTGAATTATTGATAAATTTACAATATAACTTCATAATTTTTTTGATCGTAAACTGTTATACAGAAATATTAACATAAATTAATTTTTTTTTTGGTCTAATCGACTTTTATTTCTAACACGCATTTTTGTAAAAGTTTAATTTATTTAAGTCATTGGTGTATTTTATTTGCAAAAAATAAATAATGATCACGAACGCACAATTCAGTCATGATATGTAAAAAAACAATAATTCATAACACTGAACACATGATATATTTTCAAAATTAATTTCCACAGAAAAAATGAGATATTAAGAAAGTAAGAAGTAATTATATTTTTAATGATTAAGTATATAATGAAATCGACAATGGTCCGATTATTTCCTTTTACTACATTTAATAATTTAACATATTAAACGAAAGGAATTATAAATGGAGTTTTGCAAGTAAAATTATATGGACTTCAATTATACTTATTGACTTTGATATCTACGAAATAAGTTATTTTATATTTAATCTATTCATACTACATTCTTCACAAGTATACAGATCTAATTAAATATTATACTAAAATTATTATTGTAATACCAATAACATAGTGGTATAATCTATCTACAAAGGGATTCTATATGGAATTTGTAAAAAGTGATTTTATCCCTCGTTATTAAATGTTTGGTAAAAAGAGTACAACAAGTATATCAAGAGTTATAATATTATTGTTCATATTAATTTAGTCAAACGACGTCTTGCCGAATATAAAATTGCCCAGTGCATTAGGATCTTCAGAAGCAAAAAATTCTACCCAATATTTGGCAAATTTGTCACGAGATACTTTCATTGTACCACCCTGTAAAAATAAAATAGAATACATATTTGTTCTACACAATAAATCTACACAACTATGATAAAATCATTGAGAAATATTAAGTATAATATACTTAATATGCGAATAGTTTTTCATATAATAATTTTAAAAATGGTAATTGTAATTACCATATTTACTAATTATTGGTAAATACTATAAACGAATTCCTAATTGTACCATTTATTTATAAACTTATAAAACTATTATATAAAATTTTACTAATTTCCAGTAACATGAATTAAAAATATTAAAAGTTTTTTAAGTAGCAATTTGTACAAAATATAAAATAAGTTTAATTTAAAATTACTCGTCAATGTTACTATTAATTAATGCAAGAAAACAATTTTAGAAAAATGTTTTAAATCATTAACTAACATTAGAAAATTTGTTATAAGCTGCTGAAGACTCCGAAGGAGGCACTCCATTGGTTTGACATACTTCACTAAATTCTGCCTCGTCAATCGCACCGTCTCCTGGAAATATAAAATTAAGTTTAACCTTTTATATTACTTTTAACAAAAAAGTAATGAAATATTAAGAAGTTTTTTTTATAAAATAAAAGCTAAGTTCGAAAACTACTATGATTGAAATTTTATTATAAATGTTTAATATTTATTCTTATATTTCTTTCTTATAAATAAAAAAAAATACTATTTTTATATTCATTCTTTGTATCTTTGAGAGGTAGAAACTTTATTTTTTTAATGACAACATATACAGAATGATTTTTTTATCGTAACCCACTCAATTACTTACAGAATAAAAATAATTTAAACATTTTATTTTGGTTATTTTACCTTTATTTACATATTATTCTTGAATTATTAGCTATGTAATACTTTTTAAGTTTATCCTTTATGCCTTGTAAGGGTGTCAACTTAGTTATTTTAAATGGTAACACGTATTTTTAATTTAATAAAATATGTATAATACACGAGGGATTACAATACAGGTAGCTAAGTGATGTTCAATGACGTCGCTATCACAGTCACGGATTGTTTAATGTCAATTATGACAATAAATATGCTTTCTGTATTGCCAGTTGGTGTATTTATAATCTCACAACAGTATGCCTTACTACCATTGATAATAAATGCTATGCGTCTGCAAATATAGACGTATAATAAATAAACCAATTAGCTAACTGATAATAATAATAACAGAAAATGATCTAATTAAGAAATTGATAGGTCGATTATTATTACTTTTGGCCCGGTACTTCGGAAGTTATTAGTTAATAGTTTTATATCTAGGCAAGAGATGATCGAGAATTGTTTAATAATAAAATAGTAACACCCACTTTACCTCCTCAAGTCTATACTTTAAAACAATTCTAAAATACTGATACAAAAGTTGTTATCGACCAGTTATTTTCTTAATTAGACCACTATCTAATAAAAATCTATACCTAATGATTTACTACAGTTGATGATCTTTTTATTCATCAATCAAAAACTTAATTTAATAACTTATGAATAATAAAAATTGTATACTGTGAACTTTATTTTATTACCATTAAGTACTTCACAGAAATTTCTCAATTTGTAATACAAATTTAAATACACCTAAAAACAGTATTTATTTTGTTTTGCTAACGGAAAACTGAATAAATATGACATTGCAATATTGAGTGTTAATTAACTATAAGGGGTTATCGACAACGCGCAGCCAAAATTGTAGAACATCTGTTGTTCCTTAACTGTGGCACATATAATTGTATTAACTTACATTCCAGCGTTCAAATCTAAATGACAAATACTTACTCTTTATTATCATAAAGTTTGAATAAACAAAACGTCTGACGTTATTCTATTAGAACATACATAAGTAACAATATTAAGTATGAGAATTAATCTTCCAGAATTCGTATCATTGACCAAGAAATTTTAACGCAGCAAGAAACAGAAAATAAAATCAATTATTACTGAATTTCATTGGCTTTAAAAAAAATTAAAAACTTCTTTAAAAAGATTTATTTTGAATATTTTTGTTTGTAACAGTGATTTTTACCATTGAAAGTAAAACGAAAAAATATAACTAACCGTATTTTGTTCTATTATGAACTTAAATAGTTATTAAATTTAACTAAATCTTATTATTTTTTAATACCAATTAGTCTTTTGTTGTTTTTTATAATACAATTGCTCAAAAACTTTACACTAAGCATTAGTGTAGCCGTTATAAGTGTTATAAAAATAAATTTATAAAAAAAAATCTTAACCTAAACTTCAATTTTAACATAATTTAATTACTTTGGTCTATAATTTATCTACCCCATAAGGCACTAAATATGAAATGAATAATATATTTACCCCTTTTTATAATGTTAATTTTATTTTATATTAGAATATGAATGGCTCATTTTGTAAATAAAATTAAAAATTGAATTTATCAAAAATATTCCAAGAACACTTTATTTGAAACGTTATTTAAAAAATAATCTTTTATTTTGGGTCACATTAAAAAATGATTGAATTATGATTATTGCAAATAATCCTTTAATATAATATTGACATTCTTTGAAAAAAAAAATGTACAGTACAAGGATATTTTAAATAAAATGTCCCTGTCCTATTATACTTAAATACTTAATTGAAATCAAGACGAACTGAGGTAGATTCTATTGTAATTCATTGCCATATTTATGGAAAAACACATAGTATATTGGTACAGGACCCATTCAAAAAGGTTGCCCTCCATAAATATAATATTCATTTAATTTATCTTAATTCGGAAGAATTTGGCTGATTAACAAAAATGGGGTAAAAGTTATAATAAAAATAAAACTGATATCACATCAAACATAAGTTTTAAACGCACTTCTGCTATTGTCAATAGTGTTCAGTAAACATATTTTGTTTTCTGAACAGTGGCATAATTAGGGTTTTGTATATATAAATATATATAAGAAAATTTTTCACTTCGCCAAATAATTATTTTTGTCATGGGAGGGAATATGACCATATCCCCACCTCAATTACGTCAGTGTTTCTGAACAAAAAGTTAAAAATGTTTGTAAACACTTAAATGTAAATTGAAATTAATTTTTATAAAAGTAAATCATTTTACAAAAGATTAAAATAACTAAAATTGTGTTTATGTATATAAATTACCTAATATGATTCAATAATGATATTAACAAGAATAAAATACTACTTGCAATTACTTTCATTAAAATTTTATGATGCTGTTTTTGTGGTAACCAATTAATTATATTATTTAGTGGCAAAAAATATTATCCAAAATTGTTACTTAAAAATAACTTGACACTAATATGACTGTTAATGAACTAAGGTATTGGTGAAAAGTAAGTGTGTTCAGTATTTGCGGTTAATTCTTATATGTCCGGCATTTTAATAAATGTCACGATCAAAATTCTACATCAAAATAAAAAATCAATAAATGAATAAAAACTAAACATTTCTCTGAGCTATTTATAACTTATTTTACTATTCTGCTGGTGTGTTCCTAATCAAGTTGAAGGTTGAAACTCATTTACGCTAAGTACATAGTACATTGTAAATATACAAATATTACAAAGACAATTTATTCATTAGTTAAAATCGTAAATAGTACAGGAAACGTCTTAATGCAACTAATGCTTTTGAACAATAAAAACAGAAAATCCCTGTACAGTTCAAAGCTCGGAAAAAACGGAATGGGATTTGTAAAGAGGTACGTTTGATTAAAGTGTGAACTTTTGGGATATAACTATTTTATTACTAATTATTAATCAAGATTTTTGTTAAACAAGTGGATGAAAGTTCATTAAAAAAAAATACATGAAGCATTTATTCGTAATGAGACGAAAAGAGAACTCATCAAAACTGTTAACAAGAGCTAAATTTACACATATACTTTCAAAAGTAAATTCAACATTCAATCATTACAATTTCTAAGAATTGGATATCTGAGTAGTAAAAAATAAAAACAATTTTAAATATAAACAGATAATCTTATGCCTCAGTCCAAACACATAAACTTAAGGTAGAATAATAAGACAACTTTAACACAACAATATTCTACTTACTAAACTAAGTTTGATACGATTACACAATAGCTTACGTGTGATGCTAATAATACGCGTTTCACTATTAGCAATATAATAGAATAAATATACGATACTTAAAACAATTTATGGATAATATATACGTGGACATTTCTGCTCACAGCCATTATTTTATATTATATACATTTTTGCATAAGACATTTTTTCTACCAATTTTCCGTAGAATACCCAGGTATTCATATGGTTTTACTTTTAGGAAATTCATAATTGCATTCAAACTAAGCGAGGTCGAAATAGGGCTGTAATACATTAAGAAAAATCAATAAACAAACGTTATTTAAAGAATATATATTAACCATATACGACCTCACGACAATGAGCGTTGGATACGTACCTTCTATCTATTGATAACTTTAATCTAATATTTGTATGATATTTTGCAAACGCTTAGGAAATTGAGTTAGCATCCTACAGAACGCTCTATGATCTTAAATCTGTCAGTAAAAACGCGTTTACACACTCACACATTCGAAGACGTGCACGTAAATTTATATTTATTTACGTTACAAGTAGATATTTAATCATGTACTTATCAAGATGTATTAGATTTAGTTGTATTGAAATTTTCAATAGGATTATTTCAAATAACTAACGTACTTTATCTTCAAATTTTTAAACTTATATTAAATTCTCGGAAAGGTTAATCTCATATATAAAAAAAAAACAGAAATACTGTTTAAAAATCAACATTATTCACTAAAAATGCATTTTGATTTAAAATATTTCATAAATTAAATCCAAAAAAAATCCTTAACAAGTATGGAAATATTCATGAGTTTTGTGAATTTTTTAGAACTTTTATTAGTATTGATATCACTTAGTTATAAAAATGCGTTGCTGATATTTGTTTTATATGATTTAAAGTTTGTAACTTCACTACGTTTAACACAATTTGTACCACATTATGGTATAATATAATATAATTTGCATAGTTTAATCACTTATTAAGTAAACAAAAACTATAACACGATTAAGCTTACCTGACTTATCTACCAGATCAAACATGAAGTTCATATAGTGTGTTTGCCATTCTTGCGCAGCATTAGGATTCTTCGAAAATTCATCCCACATAGCACACCATTCTTCTTGTGTTACCTGTAAAATGAAGCCATAATATAATAAAATTAAATAAACCTAAACTTTTATAATTTTAATATTTATATTCCTAATTTATATCAAGTAATAATATCTAATTCACTGTTATGACACATATACCACTCATTATCTTTCAGCTATACAATCTAACGGATATGATTTATAGGTATTTTTTTACACTGTTATGAGAAAAGCATATAGCAAATACACCAATAAAACTTTACGTAAAATTATATTAAACTATACTAAATAATCTGAAATAATTAACACAATCGATTAATAAAGAAATAATAGTAAATTTAGTGTCACTTCTTGAATTGATAATTAGTGAAGTTTCCTATATAAGCTCTGAACAAATAATCTCTTCTTTTCAACAATTGGATTCATATTTATAGAAGTGACTAGTTATACTCAGATATGTAAAAAAAATAAAAGAGAAGAATAATTAAATATACCTAAAAATATTTTAAATATCATTAAAGTAAATAATAATATTTTACCAAATATGTATAAGGTTTATAATTAAATATTTTAAGTATGTAAATTAGAGCTCTGCATGATTCGGTTTGATTCTGGTTCAGACTGAACCGGACTAGACCACGGTTCGGTACGGTTCGATCATATATTTCAAATAATAAATAGGTCCACTCTAAATTGGTCTGAAATTAAAAAATACCGGTATTTTTTTACGGCGTGGTCTTGGTCCGTCTTCAAATTGAGAAATTAACCACTTTCAAAAATTATGTAATATTGAAAGCATATTTTTAATATGGATTATTGTAAAAAAAACTATATTGTTGCTTTTTTGCATTAGGCATTACTGTTTTTAGTAGAAACTCGTATGTGAAATAATAAAAATCATAATTTTTATCGTAATAGGTTCAAATTGTTTTCATTATAGTGAACGATGTTATTAACTCACCAAAAATAAATACTATAAATGACATAAAAGCTGAATTTTTTAAAATAATGACCCACGTGCTAATAGAATTTCCAGGAATCCTGAAATGTAATTTAAAATCATGTTGGATAATGTAATGCTTTCCTAAAATTATTAAACGTTATTTGTATTATATTAATTCAAAGTTTTTCTGCATATTTTGAAATAAATTTTTATTTTATTAACTATAATTAAGTCTAGACATATAAAGACTAATACGGTCCATCTAATAAATAATATTTTAATTCATATAACAATTACCCTTGTGTTAATAAACTATATTACAATATACATTATTACATTATAACATTATGTTGAATAAAATAAAGTTTGAAAAATATTAACCAACATCTAGCTTCATTTCTTTATCATCAACGACATTTTTTTTTTTAATCTTCCTGTAAATACTTTTTTCTATAAAAAAAGATTTAAATTATTTAAAAAATAATTAGTATAGTAAAAATAAGCACATATTCTTTTTAATTTTTAAATTTATTGAACTATTTAAATTGAGTTTAATTTTTCTTTATTCTCTATTAAAAATCCTTTAATTTGGTAATTTTGGTAAAATTCAAATATTTTATCATCTTAGTATGGAATTCATAATATATTATATTATATAAATATGTCATAAACAAAACATATAGATATAATTAAAGTCAAAATACTTAATAAGTCTAAAAACTCTGAGGACATTCACATTTTATCGTTGAGCAATTAATTCTTTGGCTATAATTAAAGTTACATCCACAATCAAATTAAGAGCTACAAAGGATAAATGCTCATAGAAAATTGTATTGCTGTATTGTAGAAGCATTACGGATGTTATCATTTTCTCACAAGCCAACAATGACCAACGGCATAAATTACATTTAAAGAACCGTTAAAAGAGGTGTAAAGATATACGTTTACAAACCTAACAAACTATTTTAGTAGAAAACCATATGAATTTTAAGTTTTATTTGTTAAAACTAAAACTAACTTATTGTGAACTCATTTGAGTTATAACATGAATTTTACACTGATGTCCTTCCTTTTTAATAATATTTTCAATTGTTTTTATATTATAACTTATGTGTTGGTTATGTTGAACATTTTCAATGCGTTATTTGTTATTTTAATAAATAAATACATTAATTGAAAAAGATTATCCTTACCTGTCCATCATTATCTTTGTCAGCACCAGACTGTAAGCCATCCCAAACTTTTAACAAACATGAACGAGTTTTTTCTACCTTTTCTGTATCATCACTCCAACCACGCATATTGCAAAATCTCTGAAAATTAATTAAACGACAAGAAATAAGACAAAAAAACATAATATTTTAATTAAAAATAAAAATAACTAAATATGAATTAATTTTTCAAATGATTTTAATTCTCTTTTTTTAAAGTTTTCTTCTATTTTTAAGACATTTGATATCATAAAGAAATGAGATAATAGAAAACTATATTGTTTTATTGAAATAATCTTTTAAAAAATGTTATTTTTTAAAGGGTTTTGAAATTTTAGGTTCGAAGCTTAAAAAATAATTTTAATATATTTATTGTACAATGATTTATGTAATAATATACATATATCAAAACGATGAACCCATACACCTTCAAATTTATGATTACAATGTTAACATACGGTAAAAAGCCATTTGTATTAATCTCCCCCTAAAAAAATTTTCTTTGTCTATTCATTTTTTTTTTTTATAAATATATCAAATATATCTTGAAAGAAGTATTAAAACCCATTTTGAATAGTGGTATTAACCGAAAAAAATCTAAACTGAAACCTTTATATTTAAAAACCAATATTTGATATCAAAGCTATAATCGATATTTTCTAATATCAGTATTTGTGAATAAAACCGATATCTCTCTCGGTTTTATCAAGATATTTAAGTAACTTATTTTATAGTAAATATAATGTATAATGTATAAACAATTACTTTTTTTTAACGTCCGTATTCATCAGGGTAATTTGTTCCTTAATAGTTACAAGTGTCTTTATTTCCATTTTACATATTGAATAATACCAATATTATAAATTAATCATTGATTACAATTTATGAGCGCTAAGCAGTTTACTTTTTCTTCGTAAACTATTTATAGAATAATTAACGTACACGTTTTAGTACTTATTTCAAAATATTCATACTTGATGATTATTTTTGTTTCTTCGTTGTCGGTTTAAGCTGTGACTTATAAGCTTACTCGCGAAAGTACTAAACCAAAATGTTTTCCTTATCGTTTTACGTTTTGAAAATAGCATGTTATATTAAACTATTCTTCTTTATAATAGAATATAAAATAAAAATAACATAGATTTGCATTTTATGATAAATAAACGCTGTTGAAATATAATCCGATAATAATTTGTAAATAGCTAAAATATTCAGTTATACTTTAATATTATTTTAAATATACTTTTGTGTCATGACTTTATAAAGAAAAATTTTAGACTTGAAAAATGTATTTATTTACTTTAGCAAAAATAATGGACCCCATTAAAATATAAATTTATTTAAAAATAGTATAAAGTAATTTTTTGGAAAATCTGAATTGTTAACTTTTAGTTCATATGAATCGAATGTCAATACTTGTTTAGCTGCGCATTATTTTAAAGTACTTTAGTTTTTCGTAAACGTGAATTTGATCAATCTATTGTACTTTGTTAAATTACGTGTTTACTGATTTCGTTATTGAAAGGCATAATACATTTTTCAGAAAATCTAATAGCTAGACCGAGTTTGCCGAGTCCATAATATTACTCTCATGGGAATTTTCAATATCCAAGTCGTTTGAAAACTTATTTTAAATTACAACAGAAGACCATGTTTTATGAGTATTTGGATTAAAATTTTTTTTTGTATCTTACAAAAGATAATGAAAAGAGAAAACATTGTCTCTAGTGGTAGCGTCATTTTTTTATATTAAATAAAAGAAATGATGATAGTACTAAGTTGTCGTTCAGATTTCTGTTTATTATTGTAAATACTTAATGTGCTCCAAACAAATCACCATATTTTTAGTATAATATCAAGCTAATTCCCATTAAATTATTAGAGTCCTTAAATACCGCTGATAACAAACTGAGCAGATGAAAGTTGGTTTTTCATCTGTTAATTCATTTTTTTTTTCCAATAACAGAATATACATTTATATATTTTTATTTTTATTAAAGCGTTTCATACTATACTATTTTACTATTCCCTTTGTAACAAGTAAATGTTTTTAATGTCATTTCTGATTCCTTTGTTCATCTTTTTTTCGTTGTGTCATTTAGAATTTATTCCCTCGACGACCTAGAGCAAAAGAAAATGTATCCCTTCGTTTTTTTATTACTGATCTGTATGTATAAAATTATATCGTTATATCTATAACGAAGGCGTTGGTCCTCATTGACCATTTATTAAAATGGAAAAGTCTAAGAAGTTGGATACATTTTCAAACTGACTGTCTATTGGTGCACACAATATAAATGAGTAATAAAATATTTATTGAAGAATATTTGGTATATTTATACAGAGCAATTCAAAAGGCGATTGTAGACAATTATAAGTTATATACAAATAATAACAAATTATAATGATAATAAAACTGATATTGCAGCAAACATAAGTTAAATATTTCGTTACATCTATAACAAATGTGCAAGTATGTATTTATAAAAAAAAATAAAAGTAAGTTAAATTTCTTTATTTGATTAGTCTGGGTTTTGTTAGTTATGAAATTGAAATTATATTTTATCATAAGCCAATGGTCGCTAAAACTATTTTTTTGGTAAAATCTATCTTCACCTTTTTTTAATATAATTATTGAATATGCATTAATAAAAAATGCGAAAACCCTACTAGAAAATACTTATAATTAATACTTTTATTAGTATTAATTTTTTTTTCTTTAAGAGCCGTTTACATATAGAAAAAAATTGTTTAATTTATAGTATTTAACATATGTTTGAAGCTCTAATATAACTAAATAATGTTTATGTTTCCAAAAAAAATTATTCAAACACTAAAATGGTTGTTTAAAATATAAGTCTATTAGTGTTTAAGAGCTTCGGAAAAATTGGGAACTTTAATGACTTGTTTTTGAAATAGCTCCCTAAGAACGTTTTCTGTATCTCCGTTTGTCGCAATAATGAAAATTTTAATAAAAATAAAAAATATTTTTGAGCCTTAAAATGTGCTGATGTTCTTATTCTTATCAATAATTGTGAATAAGAAAAAAATTAAAGCAATCAATAATAAAAAATATTAATTGTTTAAATACAAAAATAAAAGTATATTTTATATACTTTAACGTGACTGTTTGATCAGTTAAAATTGATCTTGTTACAAGAAAATTATTTTACTAACATATTTTTAAATAAAAATAAACATATTGATTGAAAGAATTTTAATACGTTATATCTATCTAAGTAATACATTTTTTTTAGCAATATTATGTATACCATATTCATGGAACAAATGATAAGCAAAAATATACATTTAATATTTACACTGTCGGCTACTAACAAAATTAATAACAGGCCAAATATGTTTTTTTAATAATCCTTAAAAATTAAATTATTTTTTTGGTTGAAAGAAGCAATGTTTTGGTGATATTAGAATTTATTATTCATATAATGAATTTATTAATTTCATTAATTGTGTATGAATTTTATGAATAGATAGGTAGAAAAAAATAGTTAGCATCATTGTTTTTTTTTGACATAACATAATAGTACTATAAAATAAAAATGTTAACACAAATCAAATAATTTTTTTACCTCATGATATTAAAATTAATCATTTTTATTTGAAATATACTCATATATACTAAAATAAATGTATTATTTATAGTAAACATATTTGTTGATTTTATAGGGTGATACATGTATACGCATTATTTGATTATTTTCATTTACATTTATTACATTTTTATTTGAATTTTTTTATAACCCCATACAAACAACTATGATTGTACAATTATTATTCAAACACAACTTTATATTATATATTAAAAACTTTGAAGTGGCTCAAATTTGCTTTTAAGCCATAAAGTCAAACAAATAATATAATTCAAATTTGTATTCGTTAGTTATTATAATATTAAATTATATTTGTGCTTATTACAAAAAGAATATACTATTTTATAAACTTATTGAAAATTTAAGTTCCATTATTACTATGTGAATTAGTAATATAAATGACAGCAATTATAACTAACTCATAATTGTGGAACAAAATATAGTTTTTTTCTGAAAGACTACTAAATTTAGCAAAAATATTGCTAATGAAAAAAATGTAGCAAATAATTGTCCATGAAAACACGAGTAACTTTACATAAATGAAGAATAACTAAGATCGTTTGTTTGTATACTTTATTGTATGTTCGTTTGTCATAATACAAACAATAAATTAACTGATTTTATTTGATATCGTATTTTTCTTTTAACCTATTCGCCAAACATTTCACGAGTGGGCAAATATTGTTTGTATTACATAAAGGACAGTTTTGTTGATACGGTCACGACCACCATGGATTAAGTGAGACAACAAAAAAATATAAAAATTTATCAAATAGCTTTAAGATGAAAGGCTGAATAGACAGTAAAAATAGAATGGTAAATATATCGAATGCATTTAACGTAAAAAAAAATTAGAGTGAAAAAATATTTATTATATGTACATGTTTGCTAAAAGTTTTCACATTTTTGAATATTTTCCTTTGACTGACATTACGATTCATTTTAATAAAATTTACTTTAAACCTGGTGTACATTGACTAAAACTTAAAAAAATATACCTGTATCTAATTATATTTTTGTCTATTCTTAAACGATTACTCATTATTATGTAGGTACTTTATATTTTTAGATAACGAAATGTATAAATTGTAATTAATAATTATAAACTAGGAGAGTGTTACTAGAGAGTTAACACATTTTAATTGAAATTTCATATCAGATGTAACTTTTTACATCAATAATTCAGCAATAGGTCAACGTTGTCTAACTTTAAAACGTGTCTGAATGTATAGAAAAAAATAAGATATATTTTTACATGAAAAAACATATTTAAAAAGTCAAGTCACAGAGAAATGTCACGTTATTGTTACATACTGCAATTATTCTTCTTTGTGCATAATATTGGGTCGAATGTAAATTTACATTACTTATTTAGTGCAAAGAGAAAGTTATACTTTAAAATTGAAAAGGCAGTTTTTCATGAAATAAAGATGAATTTCTTTAACGTGAATTTACTTGTTTTGTCTATATTAACTGTATATTATTTACAATAGTAGGAAAATTAAAATAATAGGAGAAATATTGAGTGTGATTGGATAAAATAAAAAAAATCGATAAGAAGAGACAAACTAAATTTCATATTTTTGGAATATTTTAATGTATACGAACGTTTTTCACTTTTTATTATGCGTTATAATTAATGCTTTTATGAGTAGTTTATTCATATATTAATTTTGAGAAATTTTATATACCACACTTTCACGCTTAACTATCATAAAAAATTATTATATTGATCTTTTTTTGCCCGTATTATTTAAGTAAATGATAACTAACTAATAAATAAATTTTACTTTCGCAAAAATTAAATTGATAAAGTAATTTGTTTATACTTAGTAATATTATTTTTTAATTTGTGTAAAGTTACAGTATTGAGAAATGTTTTATGCATAATATGGTATCTACCAAAAGTAGTGTGGTAAGTATAAAGTGTTAATATGCTAATATTATATTTTATTTTTATTCAATTATAATATTATTGTCATTAATGTATTTTCTATAGTATGAGTAATACTGTTTATGACATTAATATTGTTTATAATACTCGTACAAAAGCACAAAAAATTATAAATGATCAATCACTCACTTCGATGGCAATCTCAAAATCTTTTTTATCAATGGTTCCACTTGAGTTGACGTCTGGAACATAGTATCACATTGACAGTTATAAACTTTCAGTTTTATCAAAAGTTATAGTTGACTTATACATGAAGGCTCATGAACGTCAAAATGGTTTAATCATTTTAAATAAGAGATATACCTTATAGTAGCGAAATAGAGAAATATTTTATTACCAATTATTTATATTTTATTGCACAGGCAATAATTTTTAATGAATCAGCAAACGTTCGTCGCATTCGTTTTTTGATAAAATTGACAATTTAAGCTGAGTCAAATGTTAAAATTAATTTTTTCGATTTAAAAGAAAAGAAAATTTAAATAAATTTAACTTAATATTCTATGTCAATTAGTTTTATATTATATTCATGAAAATCAGTGTACCCCACCATAAGGTATATTAAAATAAATTGAAATACAATACCAAGAATTTTAACACAAAAGTAGCATATTTTTGAATATGATAATCATGTTAACTATATCTCGAAATTTTATTTTTTAATAGTATAGTATAATACATAAAATTTAATATAAGACCAAATAAAAGTGTTAATATTTCCGGAACATTTTCGTTGTTTTTATTATTGTTTTTTTATTATTCAACAATTTAGTTGAAAAAGTTTAACTTGTGTGTAAAAATAATAATTGTTACACACAATTGATAATTTTTATTGTAATTGTTATTTAATACCCCCTGTGGTCAGGTCAACAGTCAGATTTTCAAAAAATGTATATACAAAGTATTTATGAAAAACTTGTATTGATTCATCCATTTTTTGAAAAGTTATAGTAATTTAAAGTTGAAAAAATAAAATCTGAAAGAGTAAATTTTAACACCAAAATTTCATGTTTTTTAACTACGGCAACCATATTCACATAGAAGATAAGTCGTCGAACAAATTTTTTTTTTTAACTTATAGTGCATAACACTATCTTTATTGTAACATATGTTTGAAGTTCAGAGTATTTCCGGAACATTTTCAAAAATCAAGTTGAAAAAGTTAAATTTTTGTGCAGAAGTTGCTATTTTGAATCCCTCTCTGTGGACAGATAAATGGTCAGATTTTCAAAAAATTTATGTCAAATGAAAGAAAAATATCTAAGGTTACAATGTAGAAAATAATTATTTTAAATAGTTAATTTTTCAAATAGATATGGCAGTTTTAAGTATTAAAATATTTTATGTTAAACAGTGATTTTTGGATAGGAATACATTTATCTAAAATTCGATGGTCATTTTTCTATAGAAGAAAAGGTGTTACGACAATTTTTTTTTTAACTTATTGTAATTACCTTAAACATTAATTTGACATATATTTAAAGCTCGGAGTATTTCCGGAACATTTTCCAAAGTTAAGTTGAAAAAGTTTTACTTTTTACTCGTATTTTTAAAAATTTAAACCCCCTCTGTATAAAGGGAAATGGTCCAATTTACAAAAAAAAGTATGTCGGATGAAAGGTATATATATAATATATTTAGAAACAAAAATTTGTATTAATTCATATATTTTTCAAAAAATTATAGTAATTTGAAAAATTAAACATGAAATCGTAAATTTTAACACCAAAATTGAATGTTTTTAACGACGACAACACTATCTTTATTTTAACATATGTTTGAAGCTCGTAGTATTCTCTTAACATTTTCAAAACAAGTTGAAAAAGTTGTAAAATTAATACCTTCTCAGCTTCGCATCAAAGCAAAAAAACAACATTAAATGTAATATACGTTTAATATTGCAATTTCAATTATTATTTAATTAAAATTACTTGCAAAAATGATTATATGAAATTAAATGTATGAAAAATCATATTTACCAAAGAAAACGTGAAACACGTACATGAGCTTGTTTTTTCTGAATTGTGAAATTGAAGACATTTTGTTTTTTTAATGTTATTTAAATTTAATGAACAATTAATCTGAAATCAAAATAAATTAATTAATCAATATGACAATCGCTTGATTAGTATTTAGTTAAATCATTAAATAAGGTCATAACAAAGAAAAGGCACTATGTCACAAAAACTATTTTTTTAGGGAGAAGCAAAGAAAGTTTATTTAAATCGCGAAAACTTATGGCAAGCGTCTTTTTGTTTTTCACGTTATTCCTATTCTAAACAGAAATATTTTTCATTGAGTTTTATAATTTGTATCTACTACGTTTTCCACGAAAAAGCCATAAATCGATTTCTTTTTTTTGGACCTAGTACCTTTTTTATGTCAACACCTCAATTATATTACAGTATAATTTAGAACAAATTTAAATAACTTGAAAAATTATGATTCGTGAATTTATAAATCAAAGTTAATTGATTAGACCTCAACCCATTGAAAAAGTACTGGGTAATTTCGTAATAATAAAATAATTTTTTATTTCATCAGCTTTAGCGTAAACTTCCTCATACACTGAAGGTGAGAAAATAAAAAGTTTTATGCATCCGTAGAATAAATAATGTACAAAATCCATTAGTATGTTACTTTAAGACTAACTATATTCTCTACCTATATTTCGGATACATAGTTACATCTGAATTTAGCTGAATGAATAAAATTCCCCTGAGTGATGGATCCTTTTCATGGTTCACCCTGATAGTGACTCACTATTATGATATACCAATAGACCGTGAAATATAAATTACATTTCGTTCTCCTAAAATATTCTTACAAGTAAATATAGCTATCAATAGATAATAAACCTCTTAAATTTACACCTAGAAAAAATCCCAACATTGGTTATAAAACATTTTGATTATTTTATGTTGAGTAATTTTAACTAAATACAAGTGATGTAATTTTTGAATCTCAGGTAATAAAAATTTGTAAAATATTATGAAAAACATTGACACAATGAAGAAAAAATCGAACTATCTAAAAGTTTTTTTACAATAAATATTGAACAAGGAATAAGCTTAAAACGTGCAAGCAATAAATATAAACTGTAGTTTTTGTGGAAGCGTTTTGGTTATCATGAAGAATTGGGTTTCGTGTTTCCTAGTCACAATTTGTCTTTAAGTGTTTAACTGGTGATATATTGGAAATGAGTAAGTGTTACAATTAATTATAATGTTTTCAATTGTATTTCAAACATTTATCGAAATAATATATTATATTGAGAAAATAAATAACGCTATAATCAAGATAAATGTTATGGAACGCAACAATTTAATGCATTTATTTTATTTTTTTGTAACGTCTTTTATTTGTACGCAAAAAACATTATTTATCACCAAGGCGTGCATAGTAAACTGATACACGCGAGTATACGCTGTGTTCAGTCATAAAAACTATCACCATAAAAAATACCTAGTTTTAAGCAGAATTTGGTATACTTCTTTTGGTAGTAATTTATTCTATTATTTATTTCTTAATAAAAAATGTTCAAAATAATAATATTTATGATTTTTTACATTTATCATTCCCTTGAGTTCATTCTATTCAAATGACGTTTGTTATTAACAATTCATAACATTTTATTATTTATGAATAATTACATAATGGGTATTTTTAATTACACGTTAAGAATACAGTTAACAATGAGTAAAACAGAAGCTATTAGTCCTATTATCTAATTATAAAGGCGCCTAGAAATCTTTATAGAATTAAAAAATAAATTAAAATCATTCTATATTTTGTTTTATTTCGGTGCCAAAAATTTTATTGTAATTTAAATTATGCGTTCAGAATTCATGTAAAATCAATACTTTTTTAAAAAATAATAGATTTTTATAATACAAAGTTATTGGCACCTTTTTAAATTGATAATAGTACCTTTCAAAGATGAGTAAAAATTATTTTTTTTTGTAAAAATATTAAGGGAATAGTCTGCCTAATTATTTAAAAACATTAATTTCAAAAACCAACATATTTGATTGATAAATAGTTAAAATATATCAATAACTAGACCCCTGCTAATAACTGTGCACTCTATCCTATCATATAAATATTTACATTTTTTGTGCAAAAAACTTTCTAATATTTTTTAATTATCTGTGTATGTATAATTGTTTATAAAAATAGGGCTAGTTACTCAGTTAGATAAGCGTATATACAGGTTTGAATCAGTTTGGATAAAATGAGGTGATACCTGTTCTTTTTACTGTGAACAATAATTTATTTAAAAGAATTATAAGTTTATATTTTTTAACAAAAACGCGAAAAAAATTTTTTCTGCAGTATTTTCTTAAGATTGTGTTTTTTCATTCGAAATGACAACGTGGTTCCGTGGTGTAGTGGTTATCACATCTGCTTTACACGCAGAAGGTCGCCAGTTCGATCCTGGCCGGAATCACAAATTTTTTTTTTATATTTTATCTAAAATATCTATTTAGAAAATAAAGTTGTGAATGATTTTAATTCAGTGTGACCACATGAGCTTGCAATTGTAATAATTTCAATTATTATCAAATATTTTTTAATATAAGTGAAATGGTAAGTTTTTTCTTCATTGGCCAATTAAAGATCAGGACTATTTTTACTTATAAGTACTACTGAACATTATTGAAAATTCAACTGAAATACTTTAAAATTTTCTTTTTATAATATTTCAATGTTGAATATATCATTTAAAAACGCCAGACGCCAGAAAAATTATAATATACACTTTATATTAATGAATTGTAATTCTCATAAAGTTATTTAAATTAATAATATCGACTACGGGTAATATAGGTTTAATTAACTTAATAATAATAACGAAACATAAAAAAAGAAATTTAACAGATCTTAATAAAACTTATACTTAGTCAAAAGAAATTTTAATTCTAGCGCAGTTTTTTGAACACTGTCACTGGTGCATTAATATTAATAAATTTGATAAAAACAAAAATAACTTCTGTATTAATTTACTTAGCTGATTCTGATTTTATAATTTATTTTAATACTACTGAAGAAAAAATGGATAATTGGACGTCACATGATTAATGAGGGTTTAAAAGGAAGCAACTTCATTAAATAAGTTAGAAAACTTGAATTTTCTCTTACGAACATTGCATCACGGTCGCGTGAAAATTATTATCCAACTTTTCTTCTAATTCGTTAAACAACTACATCTTATTTGTTCTAAGCTGTCGAGTATCTTCTAGACATAGATTGTGTACTTAATTACCAAGTATCTTATCAACAATGGCAGTCTCGCATAATGAACAGTTGACAAATTTCATTTATAAAATATTTTGTTACAACTTTTTGTAAAAATACAAAAAAAAAGTATATGGCTCTAAATTAAAAGCTAAATAAATAATAGATAAAATGGGAGTGAAGCTTGCAAATTTTAAATCCTTCAATACTTAAAAAATAATGTAAATTAATTTACATAACCAAAACAATTCCAACATACCTTTTGCCAAATAAATCATATTTTTTTCGTTAATTTAACCATTAATTTGTTTGAAGAATAAAAAATTGATCAAACTGACAATTATTTTTTGAAATAAAAAAAAAATAGTAAAACTAATCAAAATAATACTATTTATTTATCAAAACTATTATAGGACGTGGATTGATAAAAATTTTACTAATTATTTTTCAGTACAGGTGTCTCACGATGTTTTGACATTATTAAAACTTTTGATTAGCAAATATTTCGAATTCCTTTTTTTAAAATAATTTTTACAGTTTAAGACTACGTTAAATAATTTTTTTCTTATTTGTCTATATATTATTATACAGGGTGGCCCACCACTCACTGACAACTTAAATAACTTTTGATCCAGTTAATATTTTTAGTTGATTTTTTTTTTAAATAATAGTTATACGTTAGGTCTATAGCTATATCTCAATAATTAATTTTTTTACATTTTATTAAAAATATTAATTATTTTAAAATTTTAAATAAAATGTAAAAAAAAAATCTAAGATAGCTATTTTGTAGAGTAGAATTTAAGAAAAATTTTAGTAAAAAAATATCTTATTAATATTCAGTAGTAAATATTCTGTAGCGTTTTGAAGTTTGTGAAAATTTGAATTTTCATGTACTATTTTACGGTATTAAACATTGAAATACGTATTGAGAAAAGGACAGAAGAAAACGCTATCTTTTCATGATTACTGTGTATACATATGATGATAGTGTGTATACATTACAAACTTGGCATAAATACCATGATAAGAAATTAGATAAGGCAATTATTACTTATCACTCTCATTCAAAAGTATATTGAAAAGATAGCGTTTTCTTCTGTCCTTTTCTCAATACGTATTTCAATGTTTAATACCGTAAAATAGTACATGAAAATTCAAATTTTCACAAACTTCAAAACGCTACAGAATATTTACTACTGAATATTAATAAGATATTTTTTTACTAAAATTTTTCTTAAATTCTACTCTACAAAATAGCTATCTTAGATTTTTTTTTTACATTTTATTTAAAATTTAAAAATAATTAATATTTTTAATAAAATGTAAAAAAATTAATTATTGAGATATAGCTATAGACCTAACGTATAACTATTATTTAAAAAAAAAATCAACTAAAAATATTAACTGGATCAAAAGTTATTTAAGTTGTCAGTGAGTGGTGGGCCACCCTGTATATATAAAAAAAAAATTTTTTTTGACATTATAAAATAACTGATTTTTCCTCTTTTATTATAAAACAATTTGATGAATCGATAATAACTTAAGTATAATTATTCATTGAGTTACATTTTAATAAATAGAATAAATAATGCACACTTCGCCAACGTTATAAAAAAAAAAAAATTATGAGTTAAAAATTGATATTTTAAAACAATGAAAAAATAAAAAATGGATATATTTTTTTTTATTGTTATTAGAGATAAATAAAAAAGGGCGATGAACGTAGTCCATAACTGTCAAGATTATTAAAAAAAGTAATGTAAAACATTCACAAAATCAACAGCTATTAAAGATGTCATAACTTAATGGAATTTTTGTAGTGAAAAACTTTTTGATAAAA